GCGCAATGGTAAAGAATCCGTCTGCCAATGTAAGAGACATGAGAGATGCAGATTCAAACCCTGGGTCAGGAAGATCGCCTGGAGTAGGAAACGGCAACCCACTCCAGCATTTCCCACTTGTGTGGGAAATCCCATGAACAGAGGAGCCTGGCAGGCTGCACTCCATGAGGTCGCAAAGAGTCACAGGGCCTCGTACACACATGCATGCATGCATGCACATGCGTGTGCCCACTCACACACAGAGCAGGATTTCAGAGGACTGTCTCAAACAAACTGGACTTATGATTACCCACCACAGAGCTAGCACCTACAAGCACAACTAACTCACCAATACATGCTTCTGAACAGAATTATTTTATCTAATAAAGAACTCAAACCTCTAGCTTATCAGTGAACATTTTTAATCCAAATCATATTTAGTTAACAAGTCTTAACTAATTTCCAGAAAAGAAACCCCACAAGAAGCTGCAAATAGTCATCAAGTACATAGTAAATGTACTTTTCCCAGGAAATGTAATTTTCCCAGGAAAATTAAAATGTCAATTCAAGTACTCAGTTCAGTTCAGTTCAGTTGCTCAGTCGTGTCCAACTCTGCGACCCCAAGGATTACAGAACGCCAGGCTTCCCTGTCCTTCACCAACTCCCAGAGTCTACTCAAACTCACGTCCATCGAGTCGGTGATGCCGTCCACCACCTCATCCTCTAGCATCCCCTTCTCCTCCTGCCCCCAATCTTTCCCAGCATCAGGGTGAGTCAATTTTTTGCATCAAATGGCCAAAGTACTGGAGTTTCAGCTTCAGCATCAGTCCTTTCTAATGAATGAATATTCAGGACTGATTTCTTTAGAACTGACTGGTTTGATCTCCTGCTGTCCAAGGGACTTGCAAGAGTCTTCTCCAACATCAAAGTTCAAAAGCATCAATCCTTTGGTGCTCAGCTTTCTTTAGAGTCCAACTCTCACATCCATACATGATTACTGGAAAAACCAAATGCTTATAACTCATTTGGTAAAGAATCCGCATGCAATGCAGGAGACACCAGTTCGATTCCTGGTTCTGGAAGATCTGCTGGAAAAGGGATAGGGAACCCACTGCAGTATTCTTGGGCTTCCCTTGTGGCTCAGCTGGTAAAGAAACCTCCTGCAATGTGGACGACCTAGATTAGATCTCTGGCTTGGAAAGATCCCCTGGAGAAGGGATAGGCTGCCCATTCCAGTATTCTGTCCTGGAGAATTCCACGGACTGTACAGTCCTTGAGGCTGGAAAGAGTTGGACACGACTGAGTGACTTCCACTTTCACTTTCATACTTGTGACACATTTCAAGTACTAACATCTACTAATTTCTTTCATTCTGTATTATATCATATCTCTACTTTCATTTTTCCTAATAAAAAATTTCCTATCTCTAATAACAATTCACAATGAAATAAAATGGAGCAGGAAAGTTCCCTTTCCTCAGCATGTTAAAAATGATTCTATTAAAAATAAAACAAAAAACACTCATTCACTAATTTAGGCAGAGGAGGTCAGAGAACATGTATCATTGGAAGAAATAAGCATTAGACTGAAACTTAGGCTCTACTTTAAGATGGGAAAGATAAATAAAAATTTCAAAACAAGAATAACAAAAAAAAAAAAAAAGAATGCTCTTTATCATTGAGAAAAAGGAGCCAGAGGTCCAGAAAAAACAGTATCTTCTCTTTCAACACAAGTTACTCCTAAAGAGATTTGCATTTTGTTAAGCTTGAAAGACTATTTCTGGAATAATCTACTTAAGAATAAAGTCAAAAGAAAAAAAAGATTAAAGTCATTGTGAAATTGAATATACATTTTTAAACTCAATGTAATTGTCACTAAATTCAATTTAAAATTAAATATAAAATTACTGGATATTGTACATATCTCCCCCATTACATATTCTTTAAGAAATAGCTTCCTTTTTGTATTTAGCATAGAAAAAGCAAAAGACAGTATTACTTAGTTGTGTCCACCTCTTTGCAACCTCATGGAGTATAGCTTGCCAGGTTCCTCTGTCCATGGAATTCTCCAGGCAAGAATACTTACAATCATTACTAATTTCTAGTTCTGACATTAGATGACAAGAAAAAAAAACTGTCAACTGAATTTTTCTCTTTTTAAATTTGCTGAGGTCCTCGAATATCTAGCATAGAACCTGGTTCATATTAGGTACTCAGTAATCACACCATCACCAACTCAATGGACATGAGTTTGGGTAAACTCCAAGAGTTGGTGATGGACAGGGAGGCTTGGCGTGCTGTGGTTCATGGGGTTGCAAAGAGTCGGACACAACTAAGCGACTAAACTGAACTAAACTGAATCACTGAATGAGTCAGTCTCTCTCAACTGTAATGGTTAATTTTATGTGTCAACTTGACTAGGCCAGATATTTCATTTAACATTATTCTATATGTTTCTGAAAAGGTATTTTTTAGATGAAAGGGAAAAATACACTCAACTGAATGCAGAGTTCAGAGAATAGCAAGGAGAGCTAAGAAAGCCTTGTTAAGTGAACAACACAAAGGAATAAATGAAAACAATAGATTGGGAAAGACTAGAGATCTCTTCAACGAAACTGGAGACACCAAGGGAACATTTCATGCAAAGACGGGTGCAATAAAGGCCAGAAACAGCAAAGACCTAACAGATGAAGAAGAGATTAAGAAAAGGTGGCAATAAGAAGAAGAAGACCTGTACAAAAAGCTCTTACTGACCCCAATAACAACATAGGTGTAATCACTCATAAAAGACCCAGAAAACTTGGAGTCTGAAGTTAAGAGGGCCTTAGGAAGCAGGGCTAGGAACATAGTTAGTGAAGGTGATGTGATTCCAGCTAAGCTATTTCAAATCCTAAAAGATACTGTTAAAGTGCCGCACTCAATATGCCAGCAAATTTGGAAAACTCAGCAATGACCACTATACTGGAAAAGGTCAATTTTCATTTCAATCCCAAAGAAGGGAGATGCTAAAGAATGTTCAAACTACCATACAGTTGCACTCATTTCACATGATAGCAAGGTAAAGCACAAAATCCGTCAAGCTAGGCTTCAACAGTACATCAACAGAGAACTTCCAGATGTACAAGCTAGGTTAAAAAGGCAGAGGAACCAGAGATCAAATTGCCAACATCCATTGGATCACAGAGAAAGCAAGCAAATCACCCCCCTCAAAAAATCTAATTCTTCACTGACTATGTTAAAGCCTTTGACTTGTGGATCACAACAAACTGTGGAAAATTCTTAAAGAGATGGGAGTACCAGACTACCTTATCTGACTGCTAAGAAACCTGTATGCAGGTCGAGAAGCAACAGTTAGAACCAGACAAAGAACAAGGGACTGGTTCAAAATTGGGAAAGGAAACTGTCAAAGGTGTATATTGCCACTCTGCTTATTTAACTTATATGCAGAGTATACCATGCAAAACACCAGGCTGGATGACTCACAAGCTGGAATCAAGATTGCAGAAGAAATAACCTAAGACATGCAGATGACACCACCCTTATGGCAGAAAGTGAAGAAGAAATAAAGAGCCTCTTGATGAAAGTGAAAGAGAAGAGTGAAAAAGTTGGCTTAAAACTCAACATTCAAAAAACTAAGATCACAGCATCCGGTCCCATCACTTCTTGGCAAACAAATGGGGGAAAAGTGGAAACAGTGAAAGATTTTATTTTCGTGGGTTCCAAAATCGCTGTGGATACTGACTGTGACCACAAAATTAAAAGACACTTGCTTCTTGGAAGAAAAGCTATGACAAACCTAGACAGCATTTTAAAAAGCAGAGACATCACTTTGCTGACAAAGGTCCATTAGTCAAAACCATAGTCAAAGCTATGGTTTTTCCAGCAGTAACGTATCGATATGAGAGATGGACCATAAAGAAGCCTGAGCACCAAAGAACTGATGCTTTCAAAGGGTGGTGCTACAGAAGACTCTTGAGAGTCCCTTGGACAGCAAGGAAGGAGGATCAATCCAGTCAATCCTAAAAGAAATCAGTCCTGAATATTCATAGGAAGGACTGACGCTAAAGCTGAAACTCCAATAATTTGGCCACCTGATGTGAAGAGCTGACTGACTGGAAAAGACCCTGATGCTAGGAAAGACTGAGGGCAAGAGAAGGGGATGACAGAAGATGAGATGGTTGGATGCCATCACCAACTCAATGGACAAAAGTTTGAGCAAGCTCCGGGAGATGTTGAAGGACAGGGAAAGCCTAAAGGCTGCAGTCCGTGGGGTCACAAAGAGTCAGATAAGACTTAGTGACTAAACAACAAAAACAACATTTAAATCAACACACTAAGTAAAGCAGAATTTATTTTGGAGATGTTGGTGACGGACAGCAAGGCCTGGCATGCTGCAGTCCATGGGGTCACAAATAGTTGAACACGACTAAGCAACTGAACTGAAATGAACTAAAGTAAAACAGATTACCAGAATTAATATGTGTGGCCCTCATCAAACTGGCTGTGGTCCCTTATTTTAAAATAAAGGACTGTTCTCCCAAGAAGAGGAAATTCTGCCGGCAGACTGCCTTGGAACTTAAAATGTAACATCAGCTCTCACTTGTCAGCATACCCTGCAGATAATGGGCTTGTCAGTCTCCACAATTATGCAAGTCAATTCCTTAAAATCTCTTTCTACACACACACACACACACACACACACACACACACACACGTACCCACAGCTTATTAATTCTATTTCTCTAGGTAAATCTGACTAATATATCAACCTTATCAATGAATTGGTGTTAGATCATAGCCGATTCCCCATCTCTAACCAAAGATAACTTTTTTGAGTGTATATTTATAAAGAGTTCATTTTGGTATCCAAAAATGAACCACAGTGGTATCTAAAGTAGGCTTCCTAACAGAATATTTCATAAAAAGGATGTTTTTATTGGAGAGGAGTCAATTTTGTTGTGCTAAGTTCAAGCGTGTTTAAACATACTTAGAAGGTTACTAGACTGCTAACACACTTACCATTCTAAGACAGTCAATCTCTTTATCTTGGGTTACATCAAATGCTACTCATGAGGAGAGAAGATGCAGAACTTTCAGTACGCATCCCAAACTCTCTATTCCAGCAACAGCGGATAGGTTTTCTCATATGGTAACTCTGGTTGACCAGTAATGGCTCCCTAAATTAGAGAACATTATGGAATTATCTTATGGCTAAGCAAGAACAAATACCATGAACTGATGTCTACAGTAAGTACAGAAAAGGGGATGCATGTAACATATATATCTGCCAATTCTACACTCTGGAGAATTCTACACTCTGCTGAGAGTGAAGTTATACAACTGGTCCTCCTCTGGACCATGGTGGAGTTTATAACACAGGGAATACATGTATGGAGGTAAGAAGGAAGGCTGAGCCCATACCATACCATAACAGCAAATTCTACACTTTCACAGCATACTTTCTGACTTTATGGAGTAAGAATTTTCTCATTAAATCAGGTGGCAAATCCCATGGACAGAGGAGACTGGCAGGCTGTAGCCTATGGGATTGCAAAGAGTTGGACATGACTGAGCACATACAAATAGATCATAGAAGGTAGATAATGTAACATTATCCACTGAAGAGAAAAATAATCCAGAATCAGCTTTCTGAATTAAGGTGTGTGTATGAGTGTTCAGTCACATCTGACTCTTTGAAACCCCATGGACTGCAGTCCCCCAGGCTCCTCTGTCCATGGGATTCTCCAGGCAGGAACACTGGAGTGGGCTGCCATTTCCTCCTCCAGAGAACCTTCTGAATCCAGAGATCCTGCACCGACAGGTGGATTTTTTACCCCTGAGCCACCTGGGAAGCATCCAAAAGCAAACCAGCATCTGAATCAAGGTAACTAACAATAAAAATCAATTCAAAGATTTTTAGCTATGATAGGGAATCTCAGATCTCATCAAAATCTTCCAACCAAAATTTCCTCTTAAAATCGGACCTCTTTTAGAATTTGGCTAATGTTAGAGTTCTATGGCTGAGAAGGATAATGCAATAAAAGAGAGCACTATAAAAATTAGAAGACAAAAAGAAGGAAAACATAATACCTAATATTAAGATAATTTAGTCATTACACCTTTTGAAGAATTCAACATTTGAAAAATAACAGGTGTTAGTCATCAAAAACTATTTGTCATTTGATTCCACCACAGTACCAGCTAAAAAACAAAACAAAAAATTCATGTTTCTCCTTAAACAAAAATCCAATGCTCTTTTGTCAAACAAAAAGGAAATACTTTTAAATAAAATTTTTTCATGAAGAAAGAATTATCGGAGTTTTATTATTCCTATACCTAGGATAATGCAATCAATTAGGTATTAAGCCCCTACTAAGTGAGATTCTCATAAAGAAATAGAATAATTCCCATTAGGCACAGGATAGTCTGCCAGAAAATACAAAAACTCATAAATAATTTACACCTAAAACATTGGTTATATAATCCTACACTCACACTTTACCATTTCTATGCCTTTCATTTATTTACTTACACTGACAATTATTAAAACTTATAAGTATGTAAAATTATTAAAAGCTAGAAGATATGCCGATGACACCACCTTTATGGCAGAAAGTGAGGAGGAACTAAAAAGCCTCTTGATGAAAGTGAAAGAGGAGACTTAAAAAGTTGGCTTAAAGCTCAACATTCAGAAAACTAAGATCATGGCATCCGTCCCATCACTTCATGAGAAATAGATGGGGAAACAGTGGAAACAGTGTCAGACTTTATTTTTTTGGGCTCCAAAATCACTGCAGATGGTGATTGCAGCCACGATATTAAAAGACACTTAGTCCTTGGAAGGAAAGTTATGACCAACCTAGACAGCATATTAAAAAGCAGAGACATTACTTTGCCAACAAAGGTCTGTCTAGTCAAGGCTATGGTTTTTCCAGTGGTCATATATGGATGTGAGAGTTGGACTATAAAGAAAGCTGAGCGCTGAAGAATTGGTGCTTTTGAACTGTGGTGTTGGAGAAGACTCTTGAGAGTCCCTTGGACTGCAAGGAGATCCAACCCGCCCATCCTAAAGGAGATCAGTCCTGGGTGTTCATTGGAAGGACTGAGGCTGAAGCTGAAACTCCAATACTTTGGCCACCTCATGTGAAGAGTTGACTCACTGGAAAAGACCCTGATGCTGGGAAAGATTGAAGGCAGGAGGAGAAGGGGATGACAGAGGATGAGATGGTTGGACGGCATCACCGACTCGATGGACATGGGTTTGAGTAAATTCCGGGAGTTGGTGATGGACAGGGAGGCCTGGCATGCTGCGATTCATGGAGTCGCAAAGAGTCGGACACGACTGAGTGACTGAACTGAACTGAACTGAGAAGTATGTACATGAAATAATCATATGTAATCGTAAACTTTATGCATACATGGAGGGAATGGTTTAAAAAAGACCCCATCTAGAAAGACAGTTAAGGTCCCACCACTAAGGTATTCTAGACAGAATTATTGTTTTTGAGGATACCAGGGGTCCTATCAATGCATTGATTACTTCTTTAAAGGGCCAAATCAATACCCTTGGTCCAAGAGAATTGCATTATACCATTAAAATATTATTCACAAACTATATTGTGAGCATCACCTACACTGTGAGTAGATGGTAGTGATGCAGGACATAGAGTAGGTAAGAGCATGGCTTCCAGAGCCCAAAAGCCTGAGCTTGTGTCCTGGCTATATGTTTTAGGAAAAATTACCTCATATTTTCTGCAGTTATGTTTTAGGAAAGCTTACTTTACATTCTCTGCATCTCAGCTACTTCATCTTGTACAGTGGGGACCTAACTCATAAAGTGGCTGGGAGGATTAGATGTGAGAATCTGCATAAAGTGCTCAGAACTAACAGTGCTGACACTTAGCGAGCACTCATTCAACATTATATGTTCTCCACTTTCCTCCTTTCTCCTCCTATCACTACTAATCCTTCTGTATTCTGTTCCTTCCAAAGCAATAAGGCCACCTTTGCAACATTTCTTGGCATCTGCTTCCCAGAGCATTTTTTTTTCCCCTTACACAGTTTGCTGGAATATTTTATTTGTGGCTGGCTCTGACTTTATGTTAATTGTGCTTTTTGTTTCCTGCAAAAAATGCAGTGCCTTACTATTGCTGTATTTAGAATTGTAAATTTCAAAATCTATAAATAAAAAGTTAAAATAAATAATTTTACAGGAAGCTAGTCCTGATTATAAATGCAGACTAATGACTTCTCCCCCACAAAAAAAGAATAAAAAGAAATGATCTGAAATAGCCCCAAATCCACTGCTTGCAAATAGTATTACATGGAATTACTTTTTCTATTGGTTCAAAATCAGGTAGTATTAATTATTAAGTAAGATCACAATGACTTCATTTGTACAGATTCGAGGTCTGTGATATAAAACTGCAGCTATTTGGTGAACCGTATTTTAACATTTAAATACTTTTTAGATTTCTGTTTTTCCAATACTACAATGGGCTTCTCTTGTGGCTCAGCTGGTAAAGAATGCACCTGCAATGCAGCAGACCTGGATTCGATCTCTGGGTTAGGAAGATCCCCAGGAGAAGGGAAAGGCTACCCACTCCAGTATTCTGGCCGGAGAATTCCATGCACCGTATACTCCACGGGGTCGCAAAGAGTCGGACACAACTGAGCGACTTTCACTTAATACTACAACTCGCAGTACCCTTTCACAGGCATTTTTTCATCAGCAGATCAGAGCCAACTGAGTGAGAGCCCTCCATGTCCCGGGAGGCGGTGTCCTCAAATCTGAAGTGGGTGCAGGCCGCTGGCCCCCGCACTGGGTGTTATCATAGACATACTATCATGTTCAGATGATGCAATCCTCACAAATCCTTATTCTTAACTTCAGTATTTCATAGATGAAAAAAGAGATTCAGAAAGACAAACTGTCTTGTTCAAGAGCAAAGAGATCATCTGGCAGAAGCTAGGACCAAACCCCCATCAAGTTTCCAATCTGTCCTAAGTTTTGAATACCGGAACGAATACTTGTATCATGTAACATTAAAACCACATATTCTTAATATAAAGCCTATGTTCCTCATAGAAAATAAATTAAAATTACAAATACTTTCTTCCACCTAGTATTAATGGTTCCTTTAGACATTACAAAAACTGTTAAGACATTAAATGAGATGAAGCAATTCCAGTTTCCTGTGGATATTCTGTAGTACTTAAAGGCAGAAAAAATTAACCTTCCCTTCTTTTCCCAGTCAAGTGCACATGGCTACTTCTCCAAAGAGTTACAAGTAGGCTAACCAAATCTATTTTTTAACACAGATTCACAAATAATACTAATAACTCTATTTTGGAAATGTTTTCTGGCTAGAATAATTTTAACAAAACTGCCAAGAATTAATGGAACAGGACAATGCTTCATTCACTCTCTCTATTCCTCTATCTCAACTTCTCAGGAAAAACACAATTGTCAACTCTCTACGAGATGTTCTGGGTGCTCTGCATGCCCTGCCATCACCAGAATCCACCTGCTTCTAAACACAATGAAACAAACTCAGGTACAGAAATATTCATAGTATCATTAAATTGCCAAATGTGAAATTTGAGATGACCTTTATAGCAAGCGCAGATTTGTAGAAAGGAGTTAATTCTCCAGAAAACTGCCACTTTGATGGCTTGGATTCTCAATGTTCAACCCTAGAGCTGCATTATTGTAGACATCTAAATTTTACATTTAATGTGGAAATGCACCTCATATAGTCTTCAGTGTTCAGTCAGTCAGTCAATATTAACTTAACATTAGGTACTATCCTAGATGAAAATTTTTCTTATAAAGAAACAGAGCCACTGACCTCAGTAAGTTTAGCTTGGCAGGGCTATTTACAGCAGTAGGCATAAACCTCCTCCTCCTCTGTGCACCTATAACTAACGATCTTCCTCATACAGAGAGTGGCATTACAGATTTTTATTGAGAAAGTCTACTGTGTGACTCTATCCTCAAATGGATGACAAGTGATCTATTATTTACAAAATACCACAGAAAGTTCATTCCATGGCCCACTTCGCAGATACTTCTTCTCTCATAGCTGAAACCCATTTAAAATAGTTTGTATGAAAAAGGACAGATGTTTGGAACACTGCATAACTTACATTTTACATCTTGGAAATGCGACCACAT